TCAGCAGGACACACTGCACCACTTTCAAAGCAAAAGCTGTGGATGGAGGTTTATCCCGACCATCACCCCAGAACCGAGCACTGCTGGGGCTCTGCTCTCGCCAGTGCTGGGCGCTCGCCCATCGTCCTGGGGGCACAGCGAGGGGCGATAGCAGAAAGGTGCAATGCCTTCCCCTCCTCTCCATCTCTAGGAACACTCCCTTGATCCAAGGGAATCACATGTGGGCCCATCCCTAATCCACCTCTACAGGAGGGTACCAGCACAGCCGGACCCCAGGGAGCAACGTTCACGTGGATGGATCCAGCCCCAGACCGGCCAAGGCAGCGGGGAAGCCCAGACACAATATATCTCAATGCAGACCAAGCTGATTTTTGTAATTTTGGGCTGGAGGGGTACAGGGCTGCACGTCCTGGGGTCCCCTGGCTGCTGTTAGCAAGGGGAGAGCTGGTGGGACAGGGACAACTGGGCTCAGCGTTGACCCAGGGCCCCTCTGAGCCCAATCCCAGCCAGAAGCATTTCCATCGATGCAGAATCATCAGAGCAGCACAAAGCCAGGAAGCAGCAGATAAGGAGGCAAAAGACTGAAAAATACAGGGGGAGAGGGACAGTGGAACAAAGCCTGCAGAGCCCCGGGGGGGAAGGGACATTCCTGGGACTTTGCTCCTTGGTCCCCAGTGTCCCCAGTGCCTCCTGCCATGCCTGGTGTCACAGAACAAGGATGGCACCGTGCCCGGTGGGATGCACAAGTGCATGGAGGCACAGCTCACGTCTGCCTAGCACAGTATCATCACCAGTAACTCCCAGTTAGTGCTGGGGTGGTGGAGAAGGGCTGACCTGAGAGAAGGGAACGGATGGAGGCACCAGCCACCACACCAGGTCTCCTTACCCTTTCCGAATAACGACGATGATGGCTCCCAGAAGGATAATCAGGACGATGAGCCCTCCGGCACAGATCCCCAGGATCAGGCCCATCTCCTCCGAGTGCTGCGACACCTCCAGGGGACGTTTGCTCTCTTTGCAGGCAGCTGCCAGGGGACAAGGACAGGCAGGAGGGGTCAACGCTCGGCTCCAGGGGGGTTGGCAACATCAGGTGGGAAAACACTGGGATTTGTCCCATGGAATGTGCATTGCTCCTTAAAAACATTTTATTCCATCAAGACTCTGCAGTGCTACACCATGACCGTGGGAGAGTCCTTCAATCAGTTCCCATGGGGTGAGATGGTCCCTTTGTGCCACCTTTCGTCACACCCAGCGTAAGCTTGTCCATCCCCGGATTCAGCATCCAGCACCACCAACTCCGGTCTCCCACCACAATAACGGCATCAAGAGGAAAAACTCAACCAAGGGAAAAACCCAGATACCAAAGAAAGTGGGAAACAACAGCGTGGGACGGGGCTGTAGTACACCACCGTGTACACCCCGACCACCGGCAGCGCTGTTAATGACACCCGCTGGCATGGCCGACCACTGGAGCAGCTGCGGGTTCGGGTCCACAGCCTCGGCGGGATCACGCTGGTTGGGAAAGGGAGAGCTCACCTTTGCGGGCGATCCGGACGCAGTTCAGCCGGGTTTCCTATAGGAAAAAAAGAGGGATCAATGTCGGATGAGCATCCCGGCGGCTCTGCTCCCACTCTGAGAGAGGCTGGGTGGACGCAAAGCTGGTCCTGTTGGTGCTTTGACCCCCAAATCGAGAGAGTTTGCAGGCGATTTGTGCTGCAGCACCCGCCGCTGAGCCAAAGGAGCTCCTGGGGACACACACACCAAGAGATGCTGCCGAATGATCTGGCCCCAGCATCCCCAGGTTTAGCCGAGGCCATTGTTCCTGGCACAGAGAGGATGGCAAAGCTCAGGATCAACAAAGGAGGGATCCAGCAGACCCAGCCGAGCCACAGGTCACCAGCACATCACCGACTACAGCCAAAACACTCCCAAGGTCCTCATTCAGAGCTTCATGGGGCTTTTTTTCGTCAGTCAAAATTTACAAGCTCCATCCCTGGTGCTCCACGTGTGCTGCCAAGGTTGCCAGGAGGGCTTCCAGCTCAGTTCTCCAACAGTTTTAGCATTTGCATTTTTAGGGATGGGTTCAGCTAAAATATTCCATCTTTCCATGTATCCGACTTCTGTTGCAAAATAAAAAGCACCATTTTGGCAGGACTGCCTTCCTCCCCAAGCATCCTCCAGCCCCTCAGGACACCAGTGCTGGCAACGCTGCTCCATCCGCCCTCGGACCGAGACCTGCCCACACAGCGCGCCCTGGGCAGGGCCGGCTCCAGCACCGCTCTCCCCGAGGTTGCCAGCTCTTGCTTCTCCTGCTTCTTGCTCCATCTGGCACAAAAACCACAAAAAACCCAAGCTGAGATCCAGCTTTTTCACAATGTCTGACAGCAGACGGGACAAATCCATTGCCTCCCAGCAGGAAGGCTATAAACCAGCGTCAGCCACCAGTTATTTTCCAGCAGTGCCTGAGCAAGCCAGAGCTGAGATCCTCCTCGTCCATCTCAGCTCTAATTACAACCCAGCGAGGTGTGAATGATCCCAGGATTCAAAAACCGGCACCATTCCGCAAGACGGAGCCGTGCAGGATGAGGATGCTGCTGCGGTCCTGCTGCTTCGCCTTCACAGCTCATCCTCCCCGGGGTGGGACGGGAGCTGCCGGAGCCGGCGAAGCTGAGAAGGGTCCCCAGGGCATTCCAGGGGTCCCACTGGTGACTTGGAGGAAATCAGCCAGGGCTGTTACAGCTTCGGAACGGGGCTGTTACAGCTCCGACGAGAGAGCAGGCAGCAGCAGGCAGGGAGGGCAGCCCAGGAACTCGGCAGCCTCCCAGGAGCTCTCTGCAGCAGCTGCTGTTTTAGCAGCAGGTCCCAGTAATGCACACATGGCTCTTGCTGCCCAAATGGTCCTTTCCCACCCCAGGATTAGCCCCAGGAAGGTGGTCATGCTCCATGCTGGTGTTGGTTGGGGTCCCAGCCGGTACCGCAGTGACTGGAAGATGCTGGGCTCCATCACCCCCAGCACTGGCACCGGAAGGGGGATGGGCACAGCTTGGGGGTGCCAGAAGGAAGGGAGACACCCATCCATGATCCCAACCTTCCAAAAGGGTGTCCTGGAGCACCAGCTCCCCCCAGGCAGGACACTGGGGATGTGCCCAGAGCAGGGGCCCAAGGGAGGGGGATCTAAAACAAGTGCCATTTTTTCTGACAAACAACCCCGCCCTGACCCCAGGTGGGCTCCTGCCTGGTCCAACCAGGACCCCAGACCCCCCACCAAATGGAGCCGGGTCCCACAACCACTCACCCCTTTGAGGTTGCTCATGGCTTGGAAGTAGATGAGATATGCCTTCTTGGGCTCCAGCGGTGGGTTCCAGTAGCCACTGTAGGTCTGGTTGTCCCCCACGGTGAAGGGTTTGGCTTCGGTGAGGCTGCTGGCGGGCAGCTCGGCTCCAAAGTAGTGTACAGAGCCGCGGGACATGGCGTCATCGAAGGTGAGCGGCACCGGGAAGCACTCCTGCCCACCCAGCTCCCGCTTGAGCTTCTTGGGCTGGTCTTCTTCTACGATGACCTGGTAGGTGCTGGTTGAGGGCCAGGCGCAGGTTAGCTTCGTGAAAAGGATGGTCCTGCCCTTTCCCTGGTGCTTGACCCCGCCATCCATGCCATGACACCCCATTTGTGGGGGGTCTCGCCCTCGCACAGCCCCAGCCTACCTGATGGGAGCCCCTCTGCCCTGCGCCGGCCGCAGCAGCACCGTGATGGTGCTCTCTGACTCGCTCAGCGGCGACGGCATGTCCCCGTAGTCAAAGGTGGGAGCTGCAAAGGGAGCAGGAGAGAGCGGGCAAGGGTGAGTCGTGGTCCCCAGGGACGTGCTCGGGGCTGCCCCACAGCAAGGCATCACCAAATGGTGTAATACGGATTATTACAAAGAAAGAAAACCCCTCCAGGTCTTGAGCAAACGTCGCAGTTGGGAGAGGACCCACGGATGTGCATGAGGGGGGTTATCAACACCGGTCTGGCAGAGTGGAGGAGATGGCAGCAGGATCTGACCTCGGATGCATGTGGGATGCACCTGGGGACGCACGGCTCCAAACAGCTGGCACAGCACAAGCATCCCACCTGGGGCTGAAGCACACCCAAGCCAGCCCAGTAGCATCCCCAGACCAAGGTGGGGGGACACCCTCGTGCCCAGCACAGCCCTGTGGTCCCCAAGCAGCCGCTGGGGTCCAGCTTGTGCTGCTTTGCAGTTTTGGTGCCCCCATTAGGGCTCATCTCAGCCCATTTGCTGTGGTTAATAGCGATGTGGCAGACATGAGCAAACAGCCCCAAGTACTGCAAGGCTTATTAATGAAGCCCAACTAATCCCTTGCTTGTACACTGATAGCTCAGATGGCACCGGTGTGCCAGGCTGGCCAGAGTCCCCAGCCAGAGACCCACGGGCAGCCCAGCCGATGGGTTTGGGGTCTGCCCGAGGGGCTCATGGCCTGGCTGCCACCACACCAAGAGCATCCTTTGATAGCAGCAGCCAGTCACCAAAGTCAGGCACCACAGGAGTGCACTGGAGGCTCCAGCATTGCCATCATATACCTGTGCGGAGGAGAAGCCCCGGAACCGGGCATGGAGCCCAAGGGAACCTACCGGAGATATTGGTGGTGATCTCGGTGAGCGCCGTCTGCCCAAAGCCCTTGCCAGTGCGGGCCCGGACAGAGAAGAGGTAGGTGGTGCCAGGGTGGAGGTTGGAGAAGACGTGGTAGGTCTCATTGCGTAGTTTGGAGACGGTGCGCCGCGGGCCAGGCACATTGACCGCCGGGTCGGAGGACTCGATGCTCTGGTAGCTGATCTGCAAGGACGGGGCAGAGCATCACCAGCAGCCATGGGAGAGAGGAGAGAGCCCAGATCCGGGTGGAGAAGGGGTTAAAGGGATGGATTCAGAGGAGCGGGATGGCCATAGGGGCAGCCTGGAAGGCAGATGCTTTTTGGGGAAGTAGAGGTCCATTGGAAAAGCCGTTGCTGGGTAATAACAGTGACCCCGAAAGTAGGGCCCCCCAGCAGGGACAGAGGATGAACGCAGGCTGCATCCATCTCCAAACGAAGGGCTCGGGGGCAACAATAACACCGCAGCCACCCTTAATCCCCGCGACCAAAAGCAGTGGTTGCCCCAGATCCCCCTCACTGCATCGCCCCCAACAAGACCCTCCCGTGTCCCCGTGGGTCCCCCGTGGGTGCCACAGCTGGCCGGGACGTACCTCGTACTGCGTGATGAGGCCGTTGGGCTCCACCGGTTCCTCCCACTTCAGAAATATCATGTCCTCCAGCGGGGTGAAGGTGAGGGACTCCGAGGCAATGCCGCCAGGCACTGGGGAAGGAAAGGGGATGTGCTCAGATGCGGTAAGAAACTGGGCTGGAAAAAGAAATCCTCTGGGAAACCCCTCCAGGCGGCTGCAGCAGCTCTCCCCCGTGACCAAGCCACCACGTCCCCTCCGCCATGTCGCCCAGCTCCGGTACGTGCCACCAGACGGGGCTGGTGGCCCCCCAGGGCAATGATGTGCTCCCGGGCCCACCGGTGACACTTTGCCACGGCGGGGGAGGTCCCCACGCCAGGGCACAAACCCCGCAGGGACCATTCCTGGGTGTCACACCCGCTTTCCGACAGCATAGCAGCAAACCCCCCGCGCACCGTCACCACCAGAGCTTGCCTGAGTTCACCCATGCGAGGAATGAAAATAAAAATTCCCTTTTCCCATACAACCCAAATCCCCCCCGGAGCCACCAGCATGCTCGGGGGACACTGCTGGCTCTCCCCCCGGCAAGCAATAACATCCTCACCTGCAGGCAGGCTTGACGTGCCCCAGCCTTCCCCCTAATTAACACCACCAACAATAATAACCGCAAACATTAACAGCGATCGACAGCACCAGGATCAATATCCGCTTCTTTACCATGGATTTCTTGACCCGAGGGGGTCAGCGAGGAGGATGGGAGAGGCGATGGCTCGGCAAAGACCACGATTCACCAGCAGCATCCTCCGCTGCGGGCTCGAATACCCAAAACACGGAGTACCCAAAACACCCACCCTCTCACTGCAGAGGGACATCAACTCTTCCCCTCTGTTGGTTTGGTTTTTTTTGCAGCTTTTATTCAGATCTAATTATGGGGCCGAGAGAGAGGGATCGCCTTCCGCGCGCTTCCCACCGTGCAAATACACAATTTCCACTTGATTTACAAGTTAATTTAATCAGAGGCACCGTGTCCTACACGTGTACACAAGGCACTTATTAAATTCACGGAGAATTACGGAAACCTTTAGGGCGAGGATGTGTGTACCTCTATAGATATTTATATATATATATAGCCTATATATTTTTATATATATAGGTATGGGCACCACGCACGTGTGCATGCAGCACGTTGAGCCCTGCAGAGGCGCACAACGGCTCCCAGGTGTGCGTACACCCCTCTGCCATCCATATACATCATATATATTTATTTATGCATTTATACATATTTATTCTGGCTGGCACTGCATGCACCCTGCCTGCAAGGGAGAGATCTGGCTCCCTGCACACACCTCCCCGCAGCACCAGCATGCTGCAATGATATTTCCACAGGCACCTGGGATTGAGCCTCACCGTTTCATGCAGATACAGTCCAAAATCTCCAGCCGGGGGTCACTGACCTTCCCAAGCTCCCCTGGATCTATATGAGGCACTTAAACACCAGCTGGGCAACCTATGGATGGGTCGCTCTCTTCTCTCTGTGTCCTGCCCATGGACCCAGGAGCCAGCAGGACTTTGCCCGGGGTCCAAGAGGAATGCTATGAACAACACTCTTGGTTTGGCCCTGTGATTAATGCCCCAGAAACGTTTTTTTCCAGCCCAAACCCAAGGTTTACCGCTTGGGATGGGGGTGTGCACCTTTGCAGCCCACACTAGCAGCCCCCCCCCCCCCCCCCCCCCCACACACACCCCCCAATCAGCAGATCCTGCAACCGAAGCTGGCCTCCTGCCAAAATAAACCACAATCAAGGGTCCTATTATTAATGAACCTTCACCACCTTCGCTTAATTGCACAGGCGGCTGCTTGTCACCCAGTTGTGGGAGCTCGAGTCCTCATCGCCCTCCCAGGCAGGGAGATGCTGGGCCAAGCCTGTGTGTAATATCTGCTATATATCCATAGGTGGCTATCCATCAGTCGATCCCACCCGAGCCTGAACAAGTACACGGCCCCAGGTTCAATCCAACGGGGAAGCTGCAAGCCCCAGTTAATCGAGGCATAGGGGAAAGCAGCTGGAGTGATTACAGTACAGCAAAAAAACATCTGGAGCCTCTGTATTAATATTCCATAAGAAAACAGCTGGAGCAGTCACAGCACAGTGAGAACAGCTGAAGCAATTATAGCTGGAAAAGAAACCATCGGGAGCATGAAGCTGGGTGCCCCCGGTCGGGCAGGCTCAAGGTTGGGGATACAGAAAGTGCTGCTGCGCAGAGAAAGGTGCCAAATTTAGGCACCTTTAGAGATGAAAACTGGTCCCAGCTCTGCTGGAGCTCTGCAGGCTTTGCTTTCCAGCCTGGGAAATGGGAGCAATGAGCAATGCACGCAGAAAAGCTGCACGTTTTGGCGGGTCCCAAATCAAGGCGAGTCCCATGCGGGGGGACTTCATGGCAGGCTTCTGCTCAGGGGTCACCCAGGGGGTCTGGAGATGGCCAGATCCTTTGCAATTATCAGTTCTTCCACCTTAATTGCTGATTCTTGATGCTAAAAAGCGCTTCAGAGATTAATTATGTTCTTGCTTAACAGCAAGCACCGGTGACTCTGCGAGAGCCAGGGATGCTCCAGTCACTCTCAGAACCCAGCACCCACTCCAGGGCGCAGCAGCTCCTTGCACCCCATGCAAGCCCCAACTGCTGCTGCCCTCCGCAGACCAGGATGAGACCCCCTCACCCCACCGGCTGCAGGACCAGCGGTCAGAGCGTCCACATTTGGGGGCTGCCCAGCTGTCCTTGAAGGCGGCTGAGTCGTCACGGCACGCAGAGGAGATGCTGATGGGACAGCAAAGAGTGGAAGGAGCTGTTACCAGCAGCTGCCAGCCCGGGATGTGGCCCATCACTGATGGGTGGCATTGGAGAAAGGGAGACGGCTCTGCCCTGTACCTCCTGCCACATTCACTGGATCTCCAGAGCCCAAAATGACCCAAGCACGCTGCTGATGGAGAGCCACAGCCAGGGACCACGGTGCAGAGTAAGGCCAGACCTGGGAGACTTCTCCGGCAGCCCCAGCTCCAGGACATACTTGGGGAAGGGCTGGGCAGGAGCAAGAGATGCCAAAGCCAGGAATCCTGGAGCAACACTGGAGCCTCCAGCGAGGATATCAGCCTTGCTCGGGTGCCAGCAGCGGGACCTAACCCCAGGGCATGGCCAGGATGGGGAGAAGAGAAACAGCTCGGCTGTTCAGGAGCAACATCGCTGGCAAATAACGGGGGCCAGACACTGCATATCAACACGCGCTCATCCGCAGAGCTCGATCGCACAACCCGAACCCACCTGAGAGCAAACTTAACCAGGGAAGAGCATTGGGGAAGCCGAGCAAAGCTATGCTGGGCTCTGGTTAACAGCACTCTCCCAGAACCATAACAACGCCAAATTAATCAGTGACTGAGCAGATGAAAGACGTTACCTAAGTGCAAAGCACTGATTGTTTTAATTGTTATTGCTGCTCAGCTTTGGTTCCACACTAAGGGATGAGCAAGGAAGACTCGTGCTGGGAGAAGCCGGGCATCGGCCAGCCGTTGTGCCCTTCACCAGACCGGGCACGGCTAAAACGCTCCGCTCGAAGGACCAGGGCAGCATTTCTGCAGCAACGTAGGATGTTCCTCCGCCAGAGCAAGCGGTGCTGCCCCGTCCCCATCCAGTCCCCTCGTCCCCCCACGCCGCTCCCAGCATTCCCCTTCCCAGCCACCATCACTGCCCCTGTCTCTCCCTCCCCTTGCACAGCCCCGGGGCTGCGACAGCCTTTTCACCTCCCTGTTAGGGTGATGGCCGCAGGAGATATTCCCATCATGGCCCTGGCCAAGAGCTGCAGATGTGCACCATGCCACACCCTGGCAGCTCACCAGCCATGGAGTCGTGTTTTTGGGGACGATGCACCCCCCGGGCTGACTCACCATCCTCATCTGTCTGGAATATCACCTCCTTGCCCTCCTTGCGACCCTCAGGGTTGGAGAGGATGAGCTTGACGTGGATGTTCTTGTAGGGCAGCAGGTTTTTGATGGTGTAGCGGTTGGCGTTACGCTCCATCTTCACGCACTCCCGGAAGGTTTGGTTGTGGCCGGTGCCCACGAAATAGCGGTAGCAGAGCGAGACGGTGTAGGTGTGACAGCGGGTCAGGTTGTAACCCAGTGGTTCCCACTGCAACGTCAGCTGCCTGGACTGGATTTCGGAGAAAGCCAGGCCTTTGGGGGCCCGCATGGGCTCTGTGGGGGCAGAAAGATGGGGAGAGATGAGCAATGAAGCAAAACATCTTGTGGGCTTCTGTGTATTATACAGCGCAGGAGTGAGATGGGTGGGTATGGAGAGCAACCCTGACCCCAAAACTGGGACCAGCCCTGGCACAGGATGCTGCTGCCCTGCAGACAAGGCTGGGGACATCACCAGGTCTTCAAAGCCACCAACACCACAGGGACAGCAGCCCCTGTTGCTCCTCTTCCCCTACAGAGGTGAAGATGAGCCCCGGCGGGCACTGGGAGCATCTGCACCACAAATACCCAGACAGACGTGCCTGCACGATGGGAGCCCTCGTGTTTTCATCGAGCCCGTGTCCCATCTTCGAAAGGACAGAGGCTGAGTGCTGTCGCCAGGAAGGAGTTGGATTTAACAAGGAGCTGAGCCCCTTTGCCAAAAGCGGATGCACACAGGTGGTTGGGGTTAATGGCAGCAAACTCCTTTCCACACCCCAGGGTGGTGGGAAGGACACCGAGAGGGAAGGGAGGGTCTTTGCCCACCCTGCCCCTGAGCTGATGCCCCAGGCGATTCCCTTGGGATTTGCACTATGGAAAAATTCAGCGTTGCAAGAGGCTTCTGCAACCTCAGTGGATGCACCTGCAGGTCCCGATGCCCCTGCGGGACTGTGCAAAACCGCAGCTGATTTTGGGGGGTGAGCACAGCAACAGGCACACAGCCCCACTCTGCGGGGACCCCAGCCTTAAACCCATTGCCACGTCTGGCTCTACCAAAAAACACCGAACCGAAGCCCCGAAGCCCACAGGCATCACTCCCCGTGGGTGGCCAAGGGCACGGGGACCTCTGCCTCCTCCTCTCCTCGAGGCCTCCAGAGCCCCCACACCTCCCCGGGCAGCACCGTATGGTGCCAGGCTTCAACCTTCCCCTCTTCTTTTTGTTCATCTCAATACTCTGGGGGGAGCCAGCAGTACAGCACCCGGGGCCGATGATGGCCAGCGGCACGTGGCCATGGGGGGAATCTCCCCTTGACCCAGGGGCTGCAGGATGCATCTACCCAGCGGCTTTTTCCAGGGTCCCCTCCTGGGCCAGATCCTGCAAAGCACAGGGGATGCAAATGGGCTGGCAAGGCTCGGAGGGTGCAGAGGATCCAACCACAGCCGCCTTTCGGGTGGAGGAAGGGCGGCTGTGTCACCATCTGCAAACCCACCGTGACCCACGGGAAGCCGAGGAGAAAAATGCATCGTTACAGCATGTGGGAAGAGCCAGGAAAGCCTAAACGTGGTAACCACAGGACATTAAATACGGGGTGTCAAGAGTGCCAAACAGTGCCAGTCATTGGCTTCAAGGTTATATGGAAATCTGGACTTTCCCACAGCACCTCTGAAAATGAATCCGGGATGAAAAGCTGCCGCCAGCCCCTTGCCACGATGCCTGGGTCAGGGTTTGCATCTCCCCCTCCACCCCTGCGCCAGCACCGGCCACTCTCCTCGTACTCCTGAGCGCACCCATCTCCAAAGCTGACCTCACGCCTGGACTCCCCATGGCCAAAGCCACCAGGGACACCCTGCATCCCTGGGGACCGGGACGTGTCCTGCTCGGCTCCTGCCACACGTAAGGAGGATGCACCCACAGATCCCTGCCTGCGGGGCGATGCTCCCAGCTCACTCCCAGCTCAGCAGCACGGACCTGCGCTTTTGTTGGGGTGGGGGGGTTTTTCTGTGCAGGGTCCCAGCCCAGCACCACAGCGGTGCTGGGTCTCGGGATGAACACGGCGTGACAATCCTGTGCCTCCACCACGCTGTCTTGCTGCCTTTGACTTTGCTCCATTACCAGCAGTAAAACGCCAGCGTTGGGAAGGCAGCTGCCATGGAGCATCCCCACCGCAGCCATGGATGTCCCCCAACCCGGGTCACCCCCCGTAGGGATGCGGGGGTCAGACTCCCCTGAGGGAAACAGGCTCCCCCGCAGCCCAACGGCACCAGAGAAGTCTTCCCCCAGCACCGCCCCCCAGACCAGCATGGTTGCACCATGGGGTCTGTTGGGGCATTTTGGCAGAGAGAAACCCCAGCTCCCACCTTCCCTGGGGACACCCCAAGGGGGCTTCGGCAGGGACAGGGTTGCCCTGAATTACCTCCAGGTCACCGCTGTGCGTGGGAAGGCAGCCAACCCCCCCAGCCAAAGCTACCAGCCTTCTGGTGCAGCATAGGATTAATGTAGTTTTAGAAGAAATATTTTTAGAGGCACCAACCACTCAAAACCGGGCACTGGAGAATAATCTACAGCTCCCTCCAAGGGAACGAGATGGGAACCTCGCTAGGGCCAGCCGAGGGGCTCATCCTCAGGGACGGCAGTCCTGAGATTTGGGGATGCCCTGAGCTGGATCCAGCCCTGAGCCTGCAGCCCTGGCGGAGGGGGAGCAGCCATCTCCTGCCGACATTTGCCCAGTGCCGGGGACAGAACCCAGCCATGTGGCAGGTGGCGACCCTGTGCATCCCGCTCCTGCACCTTCCTCGATGTGCCCGGCTACTGTTGACTCCGATCAGCAAGAACCCCCCGTCCCTCAGGGCATTTCCAGGCTGGATGGATACTCAGCCCCTCCGCACAGGCTGATTGCGTTGGCTCCAGATCCAGCCTTGCCCGTACACTCCACTGCCCTCCGGCCACGATCCCGGCGGGGGGGT